GACGAGCTGAGTTGATTTGGCCCTGTCTGTCCGTCTGTCCGTATGTATGAACGCGTCGATTTCAGAAGATATAAGAGCTAGAGACTTCAAATTTTTTTTTTAAATGTCCGTAATTACAGCGCGCATATCAAGTTTATCATTAAAAATCGATAACTCATCCCGATCTTTTTTTATCGATAAAAAGTCTTATCGAAAACCAGTTATAAAATTATACCTTCTACACTTTTATTGCTAGAGTCTCCAAATTTTTAATGTATACTTATATGCAATTTATACAATTTTGGTTTTTGTTAAAATTTACCCCCACCTCTAAATTCACCCCCTCACCCTCACTTTTGTTAAAAGCGTATTTCAAATACTAGAGACTTGTGCTTTGGCAATGCATATTCATGTTATAATCATAATCTGAAAGTTTCATGAAGATCGTACGTCCATAAAAAAAGTTATTAAACAATTAAGTTCTCATAGTAAGCGTGTTTATGCGTGGGTGCTTGCGTGTGTATGTGTTTGTGTATGTGTTTGTGTATGTGTGTGTGTATGCGTTTGTGTGTGTATGCGTGTGTGTGTTTGTCTGTATGCGTGTGTGTGTATGTATGCCTGTGTGTGCGTACGTGCCTGTGTGTGTGTCTGTATGCGTGTGTGTGTATGTATGCCTGTGTGTGCGTACGTGCCTGTGTGTGTGTGTGTGCGTGTTTCTTGTGTAAGCTGAAAGACGCGAAAAATTATTGAAATATCTATTCATTCAGGGGATCTCGTAGTCGAGCAGTCTCGACTAGAGCTTTCTTACTTGTTTATTTTATTTGTATAATTGATTGTTTATTTTGTCTATTATGTTGCTTATATGGCTAATAAGTCAAAGGTGTAAATATTTTATAGAATATGACCGAGGACAGAACCTTGAGGGACTCTTCAACGTTCAAATATACGCAGAAATTTCTATCGGTCAGAAAACTTTTAAATATATAGGTCAGGTAAGCTGGAGTGTTGCAAGCTCTCAGTTTGTGGATAAGACCATCATGACAAACATTGTCAAAAGCAGCTTCGACATCCATGGCTACCAAACCAACGGAATGCTTTTCATCGAACTTGGCTTTGACAGTTCGTCAATTTGTCCAAAGGAAAGACGCAGCTATAGAGCTCTCTGAATCCATATTGTATTGGTGGTAGAATATTGTTAGCTTCCAGGTGAGTCTTTTCGATAAACCACAATGGAAGCTAATCGGACGATAGCTGAACGGAGAACTAGGGGGTTTTCAATTGGAATTGTCTTGGCAGTTTTCCATTCATGGGGAAAAGAACTGATTTTTAAACAATTACCATAATCAGTGTAATAAAATCAACTGCACTTGCCGGTAAACTTTAAAAACAAATATTAGGAATATTGTCTATTCCAGGTGATTTTTTGTTTTTAAGTGACTTTATTACACCTTTAACTTCTACAGTTGAAACAAGTAAGCCGGCTCCAGTCGAGACTGCTCGACTAGGAGATACCCTGAACCCTCGAAGCTGATATTCTAATCATTCTGCACTTTTTTTATGCACACATACATACATATGCATCCACACTCACGCATAAGCCCGCACTCTGCTAGCTGCAGTTAATAGCGACAGCGCTTGCGTTGTACTACGTGTGGGCAATATTATGAGAATTTATTAGTTGAATAATTGCTCTTGTAGTAGGACTATCTTAATGAAACTTTCAGAACATTATATGGTTAAAATGTGTGTACATTCCCGATTTGCCACGCCTCTATTGGACGTAGACACCTCATTTTTGGTCAGTTCATAGAACTATAACTTCATGCTAATTGTAACTTAACTGCAAAATTTGGATGTGTAAATTACAGGCTAATTTCCGATATTTATTATTAT